TCCATTATCTTAAGTATATTTCATTCGATTCTTTATTTTTCCATAAAAGCGAAAATTTTACGCATGGTATACATATAACGCATAGCTTCAAATTAAAATTTAATAATACACAGAGAGGTTATAATTAAAGTTCCACATTGAAACGGCCATAAAAGGCAAATTATTGGATCAAATGTTATCGAGTAAAGGAGGTCATGGGAATTTATTTTCCACGAAAAAAAAGGAAGTTCGAAACATCACCACCAGGGGGAAATGGCGCTGTATGCAATATTGTTAAACGAAATATGGGTCCGAAATCTAACTTAACCTTTTGTTACACGGGTTTAATATGTTGTATACCCTTAAGAAACTTTGAAGTAGGCAAATTACCATTTAAAGGCGTTAAATTCGATAAAAGTTGAGTGCACCATCCGTGTAAGTGAGAAATTCGTCCGTGAAAACCACGAATTAGCGATTAAAAAATGTGAGATCGCAAATCACTCGCACAAGTGCGTACAATCTGGAAATCGTTTTCTTACAGATCGCAAATTTGTAATTTTTGAAGCCTGAATTCGGCACTAAAACATGAAGATACTGATTCAAAACGCTTTTAATCGATTTGGGCCAAAGAAATCTCTCATATTATCTATCTAGTTCCATTGCATTCTCCTACTGCATTCGATTGCATAGCAGTCATTCCGCACCGTTTAGTGTTAAATGACAGCTAGTTTTATAACTGAACCATTTTTCTCTGAATAGCAGTCGACAGCTGGACCACTGTGAGTGCAGCTCACTTAGAGTCAGTGTTAAAATGTTCCGTGATACATGAACTGCAGTAACGTGGCATTTTAGATACTACGATTTTTATGCAGGGCTGGGCCCCACTCCACGTGTGTCGCACAGTTACTTAGGCAACATTTCACGAATGAACGTCTTATAGGCCAACACTTCCCCTCTTCCCACCAGACCTCAACCTCTGTGACTTTCGGCTATGTGGTTATCTCAAAAGAACTGTTTATGGTGATAATCTAAACAATTTGTCAGAAATGAAAAATGTGATACGCTGACATGTCCGTAACATTCCTCCTGATATGCTAAGAGCTGCTGTTGAGAATGCAGTAACAGGATTTAACTTACTTTCGGAAAATGCTGGACGCTACATTGAACATGCTTTGTAACACGTTTCGGAAAATATTAAACACATTTTAAACAGATGTTTTTGTGTCTTATTTCATTTAACAATATTGTATACAGCGCCATTTTACCCTGGTAGGGAGTTTTTGAACCCTTTTTTTTTTCCCGCGGAAAATAATTTCCATAACCTCCTTTACACGATTCCCAAGTGTGATAACATTTGGTCAAACAGTTTGACAGTTTGGTTCAAGTCCCAGCTTTAAAATATAACCTTTTATATTAATTCTCTTAGAAAGAATGTTTTAAGAAGCTAAATTTTCTCTCGCGTTATAGATTGTATAAAAAACATGATCTTTAATATGATTTAGATTGTTTCAGTCGATATAAGAATCGGGTCACTCGGTGGTACAGAATAAACACTGCTGGACTGTTTTATTTCTTTGTCATTTAGTAAAAAATCTTTTAATTAAAATATTTATTCTTTGGACTTTTCTCTATACTTTGTTTATAGTTAAAATGTCTAGAAAATGAAAAGCTGCCTTCAACTGAAACGCAGTTGATGCAATTGATATTTTAAAAAAACTGACAAGAATGAAAAATTTATGGATGTCTAGCAATCGAAAAATCTTAATTTTTCTTGTGTGAGCACTTAAAATAACTGAAGAAGAAAAGAAGAAAATTAGGGAGACAAGTAAGCAAAAATTTGAAGGAAAATTTGGCTGTCAGACATACCAAGAAGTTTCAAAAAGTTGAACGATTTTGAATATACTTTCAGAATACTTTTATGACTTTAGGTGTTCAAACAGAAAACATTTGGACGTGTACACCAGCAAATACCATCAACTGAGCTTGTGTTAACAGAAAAGACAAAAACGATATCACTGGTTTTAGACTATGGTTGTATAAATTTAAATTACATTATAGAACATCATATCGTATCATAAAAGGAGAATCCCATGATTTTCTCAGTCGAATTATTTGAAGATTCAGGAGTTTATCCAGTATTGTATGTGGATGTCACCTAAAAGCGTTTTTTCCCCCTCCTGATGAAACAGCGGCCGAGCGGTAAAGTCCCTGAACACTGGTAGTTCGGTCCGAGGTTAGAATCCCGCGAACGGGCTGGCTGCATGGGCGTTTCCGTGGTTTTTCCCATGTGTAACGTGTATGCGAGCCAGTTTCCCTTAGAAAGTCCTCCACGAAGGCATCCCTCCCCTTAGGCAGATGGCCCTAGTGTGCTTTGTCATAATTAAATAAACCAAAACATCTTGATGAAACCAGTCTTTCCTTTCATCTCATACCTTCAAAATGTTTAGCCTCTAAAGACTGATAAAGGCTCTGACGAAATACTCCGTGAAGAACTCTCTAAGGGAAACCAGCTGTCATACACGGTACACAAGAGAAAATCCACGAAAACGCTCATGCAACCAGCCCGTTTACCGGGATTCGAACCCCGGAGTGAACTACTAGTGTTCAGCGACTTTACCGCTCGGCCGTTTGTGGGCCTTTATGAAATGGAAGGCGATAACTTTATTCAAAATGATTGTCAGAAATATCAGGATATTTCGAAAAGTTGGATGCTTTTTAATATACTTGCAGAATGCCTAAAGAAAAAGACCAAGAATAGAGTAGAATGCCTGAAGAAAAAATAAATTTTTGCGTAAAACTTAGTATTAGTATTTTTTTTTAATTTAAAACCTTTTAATCTTATGATATTTGATTCTTGCAATTTCAAAAATAAAATATTTGACTAAAATATGAATAACATTTTAAGAAACCAAATGTAGGATAAAATTGTGTAAAGCAATGGGCACAATGATAAAACTGTTTAAAGCAGTGTATGCAAGTCATCCTAAATTAAAATGTCGGTTATACATCTCTCTTATTTATGTCGTATCTTTTCTGAACGGAACATTGAATGGCGTGTTAACTGTGCTTTATTGTATTTGCATGTATGCAGTTTTCAAACGCATCGTAGTCTGGGTTACAAAGTATTCTTCCGAAAGAAACGAAATTCAAATAAATAAAATCAAATTCTGGAAAATTTAAACTAATAAATATATTTAAAATGCTCAGTTCGAAGGAATAAATAGAAAATTTTAAAATAATTATATGAAGAGACAATGCAATACAAACAATTAAAATAAAAGTAATAAAAATTTAAAAATTACCTAAAATAATAACTATGACAAAAATATATATAAAGAAAAGTATTTGAAAACAAAAAATAAACGCTGCACCTTTATTTACGCAGTTCGAATGGGTAAATAGAAATTTTTTAAAACAGTTATTCGAAAAAAAAAAAAAAAAAAAAAAAAAAAAATGCAACTTAATTAAAATGAAATTCGAAAAGAAAAAAATTACTTAAAATAATAAGTTATAATTAAAATATAATATAAAGAATATTATTTGGAAAAAAGGAACGATGGTGACTTTTATTCTTCTCACGGGAAAGGAAACTAGGTTGCCATATATTAAGAAGTTCGCCAAGTGAACTATTCTTGGCGCAAACTGAAAAAAAGTGCCAATGTAAATTTGTGAATTTCTCCGTAAATTTCGCTCCAAATTTTACAAAATTTCATGTTTAGGCGTAATTTGAGTTGTAGAATCGAAATATGTAAAAAAATTGGTATGTTAGTTCAGAAAAAGTCCGATTTTGTGTCAAAATAGCTATGTTAGAAAAGTGCTATATATCAATCTAATATATATCCTAAGTCGCGCTTTCGAGACATGAAGAACGCAATTTGAATTTTGTCAATCGGCCCAGTAGAACGGGAGATATAGAACTGTCCCTTTTTTTTCTTTTTTTTTTTGAGTAGTGTACATATACATACGTTCGTAAGTTGTTTTTAAAAACCCCTCCTTTAATCCATTTTCAACCCATTTAACAATCCTTCTTGCGAAAAAGAGCCCTTTATTCTGTCCGCACGAAAAGACGCTACGGGGGGGGGGAAGAAAGAAATCCCAAATGGATTCGGGAGTGGTCAAAATGGATATTTCCTTTGAAATATGATACCCGAACTCTCTCTCGATTACAATACCTCCTTTACTGCGTACAAAGAAGTGAAAAGGAAAATTTAATTTCATTCAAAAGTTTTGTTTTCAAACAATCAACTGATTTATTTTGTATTGCATGACTCAAATACTTGACAGTGCCTTAGTACTTAATTTTATAATCTCATTCACCACAGTGTCATATTCTGTCGATAATTTGACATCAGATAAAGAGATTACCTATGCATGTATCTGAAATACTTTCTTTGTCTCCCCGAAAACTGTTGTTATTTTTTTTCTGATATTAAAGTTATCTTGATTCAATCTCTCTAAAATCATTTGAAATTTATTTGCAGCTAAAACCAATATTAAACAATTACAAATTCTGCAAAATAAAATTCTACGAGAAATTATCCTCCTTGGTATAATGCTCCTTGGTATATTCCTAACATCTACATTCACAGAGACCTTCAAATCGAACTTATTCAAGAGCATATTAAACGATTAATTGACTCATTCCAAGGAGTCCTATTCTAACCTCCTTGACTCATTCACCCTAAACTGACTCTGCGGTTTGCCACCCGCAGTTACATCTTATAACGACTCTGAACTTACCCCCACTTTTTTCGCCGCCGCTAGCACGGACCTGACTCTCTTTTTCCACCTCCCATACTTCCTTCCAACCTACTCTTTCTCCTCCCACCTGATTCTTATCAGGAGTCGAGTAAAAAGATGTTTCTACATCTTGACACTCGAGAATAAAATACGATCTGTGTGTGTGTGTGTGTGTGAAATTTATTTCATCTTCAGAATGCAGTACTTCCTTTTACTCAGAATCTGCTGAAGATCATCGGTAAAACAAAATGAATAGTATGGTTGTCAATTTACGTTTTGTCTTTCTCGGGCAAAAACACTCAAACTATAGGTGCACTGCTCTTGTTTTGATTATAGTTGAAAGCAAACGTAAATAATAAAATTTGGATGTTGAGTTTCTGAAACTAGTAGCGGGCATTTGCTGTACTGAAGATAAAGTTTCATTTAACAAGGTATCTGGTAAGTGATCTATTTCTGTGCATACTGCCATGGCGTAGAAAATATGGGGAAAGTGCAGAATCACACACTGCTGGGCGCGTTTTTAAGAATTGCATAAACTCGCTATCCATGTTCACATCGACCTATTTTCACTTAAAAAAAAATCCCAGAATTGCACAAAAGATGGGATTGCGCACTCCCTTGACTTTATCCATGTACACATCGACCTATTTTCATTTAAAAAGTCAAAGAAAATTGACAAAATTTCAATTTGGCTAATCTTTGGAATATGGTAACAGGTAGTTTGGCGACATTTTGGTAAGGCGATAAAGGTTACTAGCTAGAATTTTAGCAGTGTACGTGGATAAAGTCAAGAGTGTGCGCAATGCCATTTTTGTGTAATTCTGGGATGTTTTTAAGTGAAAATAGGTCGACGGTGTACATGGATGATACCGTGTATGTGCAATTCTTAAAAACGCGGCAAGCAGTGGGTGATTCTGCACTTTCTCCCAATTTCGCACTTAATCTTCGTCATGATTAAGCGCTTTTGTTCCGTAAAAGTTCTAGCATAAGCGTAATTCGGCTAGCAGATTGTTGGAAAAAAATGTTGAGTTAAAAAAAAAAAAAAAAAAAAAAAAAAAGGCCTTTGTGAAAACAAAACTAGCAGTTTGCTGTAGCAGGGTTGGTCGCCAAAAAATCGCCAAGTTACCATAATCCGAAGATTAACCGGAAATAACTTAAAAATGAAAATACATATTAGCTAATCTACACAGTACAAAAGAAGATATCAGCTTACCTCATTTCTGTGTCTTTGGTGTGTGACATATGAAATTCCTGAATCGTATCCAAGAACTGTTAAAAATTAATGTTAAAAGTAAAAAAAAAAAAAAGGGAAGGGCCTGCTGCCTTGTACCTTTCCTAAACTGTAAAAATATTTGCCATTTCTGTTGTTTTTATACAAGTTATCTCACTTCTCTGATGGTAACATCAGAACAAGGCCACGGAACAAGCACCATACAGGTGACAGTATGACTTTGCTGTTCTGCTCCCAGTGTCTGAGGGTCTCCCATCAATCTTCTCCAACTGCCAACCTCTCTAATGCTTTCTCCGGGATTCGAACCCAAGCCCTTTGGTACTGCAGTTGCCGTCACTGACCATGATCCTAGTTGGGCAGCAGATTGCCATCTTTAAGTTTTCCTATTTTTGCTTCTGTAAACCTTAAGATTTTTGCCACCATGCATCTTCTCACTGGTGGCATTGGATCTAGCTCTGCCCTGGTGTCATGTTCACCAAAATCTTTGCTTTTTGAGAAATCAGTGGAATCGGAGCAGCACAAAAGAGGATGGCTGTATTGTGTGAGCAGTTAGTGCGACTCTTATATTGTGATTTATTTTTACTATTACTGCTTTTGTATGAAGATTTTAGATGACATAAGTGCATCTCTGACATTTTTTTTAAAAAAGGTGCATTTATTAAAAATGTAATAAACAAATGAGAAAGCATAATTTTTTGCCCAATTTTAATAATGATAATAATTTTGCTTTATTAAATTTACAGCAAAAATATCTCTTATTAGGAGAACTCATGCAGAAAGCGCTAGTTTTGCACTAAGCGTGTTGCAGCCCTGTATATTAACAAAGGGGTAGGTGAATCAAAAGACGGTTAGAGTAGTTGTTGTTCCATTTATTGCCAAATTGTTGTTCATTTATGATAACCTGAGTAATTGAATGCTATGGAAACCCTATTATGACATAATTGGTTGCATGATTGCAGTGAATTTGAATGATTGGAAAAGATTGTAAGGGCTTGTGCTGTGTGTTGGTTAGGAAGTTCGTTGTTTGTTTTGTGGTTTAGAAGGTAAAATGGCTGAATGTGGTAAGATTAATTTAAAGTTTCTGTATGATTTGGAATGAAACGGGAAAAGAGCATTAATTGACTGGTGTGTAAATGAAGGTTAACTTAGTAGGCCATTATAAGTGGTTTGTTGGAAGGAAATGTATATGGTCGAACGTTGGAGGATACCAACACTATGAGGATATTTTTTACTCTTATCTCTGTGAATTTCTGTGGCGACGCCAGTATACTGATTCTAGTTCAGATAATTGTAGGAAGTTTTTGGATGCTGTTAAGGAATTTTGTTTGACTGAAGACAGGGAAATTTCTAAATAAGGTGTAAGTGGATATTTCCTTTGTGTAGTGCTAAGATGAAATTCCTTTTTTATGTTATCTAATTGTTTGATTTAAAATGTAGTTTATAGAGATTATATATTTTTTTTTGGCTGCTCCTTTGACTTTGTAATTGAAAATAGATCGATGTATACATGGACAGAGTCAAGGGAGTGCACAATGCCAAGTTTGTGCAATTCTCTGATTTTTTTTAAGTGAAGAAAGTCTATGTGTACATGGATACCGAGTTTGTGCAATCGCTGCTACACAAAACAGTGATTTTTTGCAAAAAATTTCCCTTACACAAAGCCAAAATAACTAGTCAAAGAGTTGCAGAAACTTCATGTCCATGTACCGCCAAAAATCACCAACTACTGCCAAGGGGCAGCTGTAAATTAATTTTTACCCAAAAGACATGTTTTTATTTTTATGTAATCAGAAACCTGATGTTATGAATCTGATCAGAGCTAAGGAGAACAAATTTTTAAAAGATGAAGAATAAAAAGAAATAATTATTTTAATATAAGGGTATTAAACATATTTTATGTATCACATGATGTACGGCTTCCTAATTAATATTCCTTAGCTTTGTAGAGAACTACTCAATGAACTTCTATCATTTGAGCTTAAACCGCTAGAAATTTTATAGCAAGTGATGTTCAGCTTTCAAATTACATTTAACTATTAAAACTGGAAAGGCAAATTCTGTAAGCACTGTAATTTTTGTTTTTGTTAAAAAAGTATGACACTTTATTAATGGTGTGACCCAAAATTTTTGCTTCTGCAATGAAAGGTATTATTGCATTTTGAATCTGGAAATGTACACACATCATCAGCATTCATATAAATATATTCCTTGCAAAAAGGGGAGTGACAAATTTATGAAAATACAAAATATTACAAATGCGGATCTTAAAAGTTGCTCAAATTTTTGGGATGAAGCCAAATACAAAAATATACACACTTTATAAAAGACATTTTGAGCTTCTTAAATAAAAAAGTACACTGGCCCTAGAAAAGTTATTTATGAACTCCATTTTATCAGATATGCAGAGCGTGTAAAAAAGTAGGTCACTGGAACACGTGCAGCTAATCTGGGGCTTTTTTAGCATAATCTCTGATTCAGTATACTATGAGTTGTGAGATTTTTGCCATTTATTTTGAACAGGTAGGGTTTATACAAATTACACATCTAATTTTTTCTCTTGCCTTGAGAAGCCACAATGCTGCCTCTCCTACGATATGCACCAGTAGCTCTTTTTCTAAATCTGTGCTATAAAATGCTCATGTTCATTTACAGTACAAACATGTTCTGCATTTTACCTAATGAGTTCTTGTTGGGAACATATATATTAGCTTGCTTGTTATTCTGGAGGGAGGGAAGAAAAAAAGGGTTAATTCTTTGTCAAAAATGGTGCACAACATTTGGGCAAAATTTTTAAATTTCTCTACATTTACATAGAAGACTAAAACTTTGTTACTTTGCACATCCATGTATTTATTAAACTCAATTTTCAAAATAGTTGTGCTACTTATGATAATTGCTCTCTGTATTGTTTTAATTGTGCAAGCACATAGTCTAAAAGTAAACATCTTTTTTTATATGTAAAGAGTCACTAATGCAGAACCAAAAGTTAATTTTTTGTAATCTCATAATTTTATTATGTCTAGGTGTAATAATATAGGGTGCTTCCTTGTTAAAGGCAGCCTTTTCACAAGTTTGTGATGACATTTTAAATTTGTATGTTACAGACTGAGCCACTTTTGGCAACTAAGTATGATTGCTCATCAAAAAGAAATTATGTATCTGTAATACATAACAGAACTTAAACAAAACAGTATGATATTCAATTGTAAAAGAAAATTTGAACTAAATCTGCTAATGTTGTGTATCTTATCTGAGGCTAGAATTTCTTATCCTGTTATCAACAAAAAGAAGCATTGAGTGCTAATATTAAATTTGGTAAAAGTTTCTTGAAATTGGGTATTAATGAAAAGCCTAATGACAGTGAGATAATCTTCTGAGTGGATTTGACTATGTATCATTATTCAAAAATGGAAAATGTTACAGGGTTCGTACGGTCCTTAAGAGTCCTTAAAAGTCCGTAAGTTTTTTGGAATCGATTTTTGGTCCTTAAAAGTCCTTAATTTCGGCCAAAATTGGCAGAAGGTCCTTAATTTTAATGATATGAAATTTCTGTCTGTTTTTTCCATTGTCATTTTGAGTGTGAATTAGCATTTTGGAGGAATATTTTTCGCAATTCGCTGACAAATATCGTTATCTTTTGAATGGGTAAATGCATTTATGGATTATAAATTGTTCCTATTTCTAATATAAATGGTGGGATAGAGTTTGAGCAAGAAGTGCAACACAAGCATTTCGAAATTATTTCATTTTTTCTAGTGAAGAGCTCTTAAACAACTTTTTGCTTTTGGAGATATGAATTCTTTTATTAAATTGCTCTAAATTTAGTGACTTAGCAACATTTTGGCGATTTTAAGATAAGTTTCTGTAGAAAAGTTTTAATTCCGAGATCTGGAAACTTTTCGGCAATTTTTTTAGAACATTGTAAAATTGATAAATTTTATTAAAATAATGGTAATATATTATAATTACAGTAAGAAATAACATTAGAATAAAACATTTTTATTTTTTGCTGTTGTATTATAAAGTTCCATTTTGGCCACTTATACAATATTTTGAATCTGAAAAATAAGGTCACTAGACACAAGCATAAAATATCAGAAATGCTTTTTATCTTATCATATAGACAGGCATTATAGAAAAGAATTTTTTTATAAAGAAATTGAAAACTGACAATTTAAACTATTCCTCTAATATGTCTTAATGCATCATACACAGGGATGGCACTAGACATTTCCCCACCTGATACAATCTCTGTGGATCCTAAAATCTGCTGCCTGGTGCCTTTCTAAATTCTGCTTCCAATGCCTGTTCTAAATTCTAAAATTTTTACATTTCTAGATTTTTGTTGCTCGATGTGTTATTAAATTCTAAAAATTCTGTCACAATAGCTTTGTAACCGGACCTTACCATATATATTTCATATTTCTTATGAATAATCACATTACTAAAGAAATAAAATTAGCAGCTTTCTCTATACATTCTAAATGTATTTAGTGTTTTTAGAATAACAGAAATCTTTAATTAAATCCAAAAATTCTAAAATGGAAAGGAAACGTGGAAGAAAGAAACTGAATACATTAAGAGAAAGGGAAATTATTCTTCAAAGTTACGTACAGATATTATTAAGTAAATTAACCAGTTGTTAACAATTTCAGCCTTTATTATAATTTTACATTTCTATTCTCTCACCAGAATGCAAATTACTTAGTTTTTAAACTGAGGTTTTTGGAGTGTAAGACAAGAGTGTATTTCTGACCTCCACTTGCTCCCTGCATTAGTTCCTGCCATCTCTGATAACTTGTAATTATTCATCTTTACATTACTGTTGCCGACATTTGAATTTGTTATGACGATAAAGTTACTGAGCTTGAAATGTTACAGCTTAAAATGAAATTAAATTGTTATAGTATTTGATCACTAGTCCATATTTTTAGTTTGAATTTGATTATTCTTGTTTAATTGCATCATCACGAGCTGTAATTGATTTATTTAGCATTATAACATGTCCTTATGTTCTGAGTTCTTTTTAAATAAGAAGCTTATTTAAATCTTTGTAGCTACTTTCAGACACAGCGATAATTTGCTTCACATCTATCCAGAGGGTTTTGGACTATTTAACTTTTACCAGATCAAGTAAACCCTCATAGGTACATTTTGGAGAGGTTGACAGGTTAGGAGATACAAAACGTAGAAACTAGTGAGAAAACTGTCCTGCATATTGAGACAAAGTTCTAACTGTTAGAAAAGATGCTTAAAGAGAAGGAAATTGATATAAATTAGCCAAAATGTATGGGAAGGCTTCAAATTAAAAAGACGCATAAATGTTTTATTGAGTGTTGCTACAAAACATATATATTTTGTAGCTTTTAATGTATAATTATCCTAATATCGTTTAAGATTCAATGCCATAAATTACATGTATTTTAAACTGTGAAATTTCATTCGATTGTGATTTAATAAGGCTTTTTTTTAACAAATATTGTTAAAAAATAAATAAAATTTTATAGTGCCCATGTAAATCCGTAATGACTGAGGTTATCTAATACGTAATTTAATTACTTATAACCAGGGCTGTGGAGTCGGTAGGGAAAATGACCAACTCCGACTCTGACTCAAACTCCCGGAATTTTAATAACTCTGGCTCCTTCATATATATGTGAACATAAACACATGGTTACAGTTTATTTTTTTATTATAAAAGAAGTAATAGATGCTACAGAAAAAAAAATTGATTCATAGCAAATTTTTTATATTAATTAGCATTTATTATGAAATGGAAAAACTGGCATTAGTAATTTCTAAGAAACAGTAAAACTTAAACTATATTAACTGAGTTACAACCCCTGGAACTCTACAAGAAACTATGACACTAACTGCGTCAGATAGAGCCCAGCTAACTTTCAAAACTTGCAAACCGGGCTTATATCAGGTCTTTTAGGTTTGTTCTGATCAGCAGGTCTCTCTTTAGGCAAGCAGGAGCGGTTGCAACAGCCAGTCTTTTGTTTTGAATTATGCTGATTGTGATTTTACTTCTCACTTTATGCTGCTTGACATAAAATCTACTTACTAAACCCCTAGACTGAGCAAGTATGTGACAAAATGAGACATTAACAAAAATCAACGTAAAGCTAACTGTTAGAAAACCTAAATAAAATGTCACTTTTCTTCTTTCAAATATATCCAATTATTATGAGTGTAAAATATTTAATGCTACTTTATAAATTTCACAAAATTTATTTTATTCTCAAACTTATTAATAATTATGTTTAATAATAATGCATGTGACTTATTTAATTATGTTTAATAATAATGCATGCGAATTATTTAATTATGTTTAATAATAATGCATCCGACTTATGGATCTGTTTTATATTTAGAATGGTATTACAAAAGTGAAGTTCAGCATAGATAATATTTTTAATTGAATTTATTCACTTCCCAATTGCTTATAGGTCCTTAATTTTTTCATTAATGGTTCTTAAAAGTACTTAATTTCCGTGTTCAGAAATGTGTATGAACCCTGTGTTAAATTAGCCATAATAATTTAATTAAAATATTTTTTATCACTGAACATTAATTAACTAAGAAAAATTAATATCTCTCTCACTAGAATCTAGCATTTCAGGCACAAACCAAGACAAAAAAGCATTAGCCCAGGAAGTAAGATAAATATTTTCCATTGACGAGGGGAAAAATTGGGCAATGGTTCCACCAAAATGCCAAATTAGACATTTTTAACTCAGAAAACAACATTTATTATAAATCTTACCACTATGAAAATATGCACAGCATCAATAACCCATAAAAAAGAATAACATTGACAATTTTAAAAGATTGTATAGCATAAACAAGCAAATCTTTGTAAGAAACATTCTGTAAAACATTATATAGCAAAATGAGTTAAGGGGCTGATATCATTTCATAGATTTATAATAATATCACCATCTTTAGAACTCCATTAATCTTTATATACTAGTATGAAATTTTAGAGTTGTACATAATAGTTTATTATTATTTGAAGAAATTTTACTCAACATCATTGTGATTGGACATTTTTAGATGATATCAGTAATATGACTCATCATTTAGTTTACCACATTTACATCATGCATTCACTTTGAAGAAATGATTTACATATGGAGGATATTTCCATTCTGCTGTTATAGCCCAAGTTGAGCAAAATTATCTCTAATTGAGATTCCAAAACTTATTTTGACATATTATACTGTTCCTTTCTATATCTCTATTATATTATTCTTTTTTCCAGATTTTTTTGAATTCTTTCCTAACCAAACTTCTGATTGTTCTCTCTGTAAAAGGAGTGGTAATAACAATATGGCTAAAAAAAGTTCAGATTTTGAAGACAAGTCAACCAATTCATCACCATGAATACCAGACTAACCACATATACAGAATAATTTTACATCTGTTTTTTTCTTTCTTGAATTAATGCAAAAACATTTTAAACATAAAAAATCTCTATCATAAGGCACTGGGCTCTTGTTAATGGAATATTTTAGGCTTTTTTCAAAATATCTAAGAATGGCTGAAAAGCCAAAAAATGAAGAGACTGTTTGTAGCGTTCTCAGAGTAAAGAAAATTAACATTGAATTTTGACCAAATGATGATGTAATTTGTCAGGAAGACTTTACAGCAAACTATGGGTATATTGGTCAGTATGTTCAGTTCAGTTGAGTACAAGTAATTTCCAGATGTTAAAACTGATGCTGATCAAGGAAAATTATAAATAAATTTTGAATAAATTCAATATATGTGAATTAGTTTTGTCTAATATTTGACTATGTTATCTTTTTGTTGATATTTCTTTTCTTTTCTTTTTCTTTTTTTCAGATGACTTCTCTAGGAGATCAACACAGAATGTTCATACAAGCATTTATGTGGAAAAAATTTTTTAGTAGTGATGAAGTAAGGCAACTGCATAAAGAGTGCCATGTGAAAAATAAAGGTAAATCTTGCTTTGATTTTTGTTAAGTATGAAAAAGAATTCATGAAAATATTTAACTCTGAAAAGCATAAATTATTTGTTACAGGCCAAAGTTTTAACTTTCCTTAATTGATAAATTTGTAGTTATTTATTAAATTGGCATTTTTTTTTAAATATTAGATTTAGAACTTGGGATTTTTGAAAAATACAGAACTCGCCACTAATTAAACTCACTGGTTTATAAACTCAGCTTCTTATCATGTTTAAATTTCCAGGAACTAAAACAAATATATACTCAATCAATTGAAAAACTGCTACAGTACAAAGTCTTTAATCTGGACATCCATAATTCGGAATGATCTATAATCTGGACCTCAAAGCTACAAACTTTATGTGCATATGCATGCACATAATACGTTTACGCATGCGCATTTAATGTATAACAGACAATATAAGCTAGGCTAAAATTATCTAATTATCTATTTCAGCTAATGTTGCAGATTGCATTGTTCCTTATTCTTCTAATTGGATCCGACTTATTTTTTGCAGAGTGTTAGAGCAATTTTATAAAAAGTAAGCTTGAACTTTCGATTATGTCAAAAAGAGTTTTTGATTCTGGAGCTGCCAAAGGATCTACAAAGCAAAATCATATTTCGATGTCCATCAAACAAAATGGGGAATTGCTGCGAAAAAATGGATAAAGGCATATCCTTTGTTTTTCTAACCATTCCAAAATCTGTTTATCAATTTCATGCTGCTCTGCGGGGGGAAAACGTCACGGCGCGCAATTAACTGGAAGTTGATCTGTCAGCACTATCCTCATCTTCAGGGCAGATTTTTTTTTTTTTTTTTAAATTTTGCTTATAATTCCTTACTAAGTGTAACATTTCATCTCGATGTACTCCATCTTTGATATGATTTAAATCAAATTCCTTGTCATTATAAATATCACGAATACACATCAAATAGTTTTCTGGTTGCAATTTTCTAATTTCGACTATGCATAAGTATGCTTTATGCATGCGCGCGTTGAAAAAAATGTTTAATACAGTAAACAAATAAATATTAAACTTTTTTTTTTTGTAAATTTTGATACCCTTTAAATCATAATTGCTCTTTATTTCATAAATTACGGTTTCATATTTTTAATTTTATAATTTCTGCATGCCATTTACCAGATTTAAATTGATGATCTATAATCTGGAATCGCCGAAGTCCCAACGAGTCCAGATTAAAGACTTTTCACTGTATCATGCAGTTTGTCAAGTTCAGTAAAAAGAAGTCGAAAGTAAAATTTCAATAAAAAGAAGTATAAACTTTTACTGAATTTGGCAAAATTTTTTTACAATGTTTAAATTGAAAAATTACTATTATAATATTATGTGGTTTCATCAAATTCATGAGAGTACTCTCTTTTATGTAATTTGGCAGTTTACCATGGGGGCCAATAAAAATCAAATAGTATCGTTAAAAGTAAATTCTCGACTCCTTTTAAATATTCAGGTTTTCTACATTTTTCAATAAACCAATGGCATCTCTTAATTCTTACAATCATACTGTACGTTAATAACACAATAATTTATTCTTTAATTTCTTGAAACCAGCTGATCTTTCACCCTCAGTACAGTACAAAGTCTTTAATCCGGACTCGTCGGGACTTCAGCAATTCCGGATTAAGGTTTTTTCTGGATTATAGATCATCAGTTTAAATCTGGTAAGATGACATGCAGAAATTATACAATTAAAAATATGAAACCGTGATTTATGAAATAAAGAGCAGTTATGATCTAAAAGGTATCAATCAAATTTTACAAAAAAAAAAAAAAAAAAAAAAAAAAAAGAAGCTTAGTGTTGTAGTGTTGGCAGTGGTGATAAAGGCGCAAAGCATATTTTGCTTCCCTTAAATAAAGCTAAGAGTAATCTAAATAAAATTCAGGCTTTATTCCATAAATTAAAATAAAATAAGCTAACACTGTAGCCTTTACATTTAAAATCATTTGAGTGAAAGAAAACTAGCATTATACTAACTCATAATAAGAAAAACATTTTGATACAAAACAGCCAAGAGCTTTTGCCCACCATTCTTTTCCCATTTTACCAGCATTAAGCATAGCTTTAACTGCGTCTAATGCTGTTCGGTTAAAATGTTCACATGTACCATTCTCTTCTGGGGTGTACGTGTTTGTGTGTTCAACACTAATTCCATTTTCGGCTAAATACCCTTCGAATTGCCTGTTACAGAATTCCCCACCGTTATCGGTGCGTATACTTATTAATTTTCTATTCGTCAGTCTTTTCATTTGCCTATGATAATTCTTAAAGTTGTAGAACGATTCATATTTATTTTTCATACAATACACTGTTACTAATCTACTATAGTCATCCACAATAGCAAGGAAATATTTACTCCCACCCTTAGATGGAACTGGTAGTGGACCACAAACGTTTAAATAAACCAACTGCAATGGTTTATCCGATCTCTTTGGAACAGTTTTAAACCTCTCCATTGGTTTTCCAATTTCTGGTAACCTTTTCATGCTTTGATTCTTACTAGTTTTAATAAAATCAAAATTTACGTGGCTAAATCTCCAATGCCATAGCATTGCATCATATACTTTATTTAACTTTCCAATTTCTGTACCGTAACCAGCTTCCTTTTTATCTGTTGCATATCTAAATGGTTTTACGTGATAAAGTCCGTCATATCGTTTAGCGTAGCATAATCTATCCCAATTATTAAAGTATATCCACATCTTACCTTTTGAAATCACAAAATGAGCACCTGCCTTTTCTAACCTTGTTCCTCATAGTACATTTCTCCTTAGTTTTGGATTATATAACACATTATCTAACTCAATCCAATTTATTCGATTGACTACTTTTACTGCGAATTTGACAGTGACTTTTCCTAGTTCTTTACTTTCACAATTTCCTACAGCTAAAGACATATGTATATCGTTTATTTCTTCAAAATTTGTCATTAATTTTCTATTATTACAGAAATCAGTTATAGCTGCAGTATCTATGACCCAATTAAATTTATCTGCATTACCTCCTTTATCTGTAGTTGTTACATAATTTTCTACTAACATTAATTCTTTATCTTTAAACTGTCTATTTTTATCGTCTGTTTTAAACTTCTGATTTTTACTTACATTTTTGTTACATTGAGCGATTAAGTGTCCAAATTTATGACATCTGAAACAAGGTCCTATTTTCATATTCCCCATTTTTTTCTTAGATTTAGTTTTATTTTCAACTCTATCTTTCCCTGCATTTGAACTAATACTATTAAACACGCTTACCTTGCTGTCTTCTAAATCGGCATTTACCTGGCGAAGTCAGGCTTTCTTCTCCTTACCAGTTCTTCAGCAATTTTTTCCAGCGTAAAATCTTTGTCCTTCCACCTATAGATCAACTGTACAATGCCAGAGTATTCCTGGGGTAATCTCCTTATTGCCTGAAATCCTTTAAAAAGATCTGCCAAGTTGTGACCAGCTTCAGCCAACTTCTTTGCAGTCATTCTTATCCTCGCGATGAATAATCCTATTTCTTCATTTGGCATATATCTAATACTAAAAAATTCATCCAGTAACTGAATTATCCTTGCTCTTGTTTTGAGTTCGAATTGCTTCTGTAGAACTTCCCATGCTTCTTTACCACTTGAACATTCTTGTATGCGGTCTGAACTCAGTTTTAATTCTATAATATAACGTAGTGAAGACTCTATTCTCTCTCAGTGTGAATTCCTGCTTTTCACGCCTTGTTGCACTTTTATCTAATTCTTCTTTGTCCTTTATGAAGCTCCAATAATTTCTATCCAGGAACAGCATTTTCATATCGACTTTCCATCGATCCCAGTTGTCATGGTTTAACAGCTTAAAACCTTCAGGTAGTAATGACATCTTCAATTAAGTGTGAGCACAACAACTCGAACAAACTTCTAAGACAGGTCAGCTTCTTTTCATGGATAACGGCCCTCTTCACCTACATTCCTTCAATGCTGAGTTGAACTGTATGACTGATTAGTTGTTGACGCTGGGCCCATAACCCTTTTGGCAGTGCAAAGCATATTTTGCTTCCCTTTAATAAAGCTAAGACTAATCTAAATAAAATTCATGCTTTATTACGTAATTTAAAATAAAATAAGCTAACATTTAAAATCATTTGAGTGAAAGAAAATTAGCATTATGCTAAATCATAATAAGAAAAACATTCACCGATACCGGCGTACATATATATAATACTCGGCCAACCTGCCGATCTTGACGTCATCGGCCAATCAGCGGCAACCATGTTAGCTACTGCAGATTGACCTCCGATCAAAATTTGCATAAGGAAAACTAAAGCCAACACTTAATATTTATTTGTTTACTTTATTAAACGTTTCTTTCAACACGCGCATGCATAAAGCATACATTAAGCACATGCACAAAGCATATGTTATGTGCATGCACATTCTTTACACGCATGCATAAAGCATACAAAAAAAAAGTTTGTGGCTTTGAGGTCCGGATTACAGATCATTCCGGATAATGGATGCCCGGATTACGGACTTTATACTGTACTATTTACAATTATATACACTATGTACTATGGCCATAGTAAGGAGCTAACCTGTCATAATGAACGACTTTAGGTTTAAAAAGGTCACAAGGCAGACAAAGGTCACGAATGAAGAGCATCTGGGATGGAGAATAACGGTAGTCTTGTGGACAGCACTGTGGTAAGCCAGTAAAAACAGTTGTAACTTTTTGTCCCAGTCTTGTTGGTTTCTAGAAACCACCAATGAGAGGTTATTAAGGATGGTTCGGTTAAACTTCTCTACCATGCTGTCTGATTGGGGATGTAAAGGCGTTGTTTGGGTTTTGTCAATGCCAAGTAGCTTGCAGAGTTCTTTCATTACAGCCGAGGTAAAATTCCTTCCCTGATCGTAATGTAACTGAAGGTGCACTCCGAACCTGGAAATCCAGTGCTGTATCATCATCTCTCTGCTGTGACAGCCTCTTGATCAGGAATAGAATATGCTGCAGGCCACTTGGTGAAGTAATCATTGACTACAAAAATATATTTGTTGCCATCAGCAGTTCGTGGCAGAGGTCACAAGATGTCAAAGGCGATACATTCAAAAGGCATCCTATGTTATAATGTTGCAGCTTGCATTGGCTGCATTTCTTCGGTCCTTTCTGATCGCACAGGCATTTGATTATGCAAGTAATATCATGCTAAGCAGAAAAAAATGTGGTTTATTTAGACTATGTCTGAACTTAAACGACACTTAAAACTTGGTGAATCCCTTTCCGAATATTTAATTGCCATGCGTGAAATAGCCAGTCACGCTTCTGTTGATGATTCATCAATTCTTGATTATGTAATCAATGGGATACCGGATCAGAGTAGTAACAAAATTATTTTGTATGGGTGTAAAACTATGTCTGAATTCAAAGAGAAATAAAAAATTTATGAGAAAATCCACGTTCCAGATACGAAGAATAAGGGTTATTCAAATACTAACACACAAAATAAAGCACGCACTATACCAAATAAGAGTACAAAACCAAGGTGTTATGACTGTGGAAGTATAGGGCATTCTTTACGTGCACGCATAAAGCTTACAAAAAAATGTTTGTGGCTTTGAGGTCCGGATTATAGATCATTCCGGATAATGGACGTCCGGATTACGGACTTTGTACTGTATATACATATATATTCTATTTTTTCCTTGTCATTATTTTTTTAATACTCACTTTTAATATTAGAACTGTCACAGGGCTCAAAATGGCTAACCCCCCAATCTATTTCTATTAAATTGGAAATAAATGTAATATATTAATTACCAGTATTTATGTGTTGTATTCGGAATTTTGTTTTAATCTCATTTTGTAACGTACTTTTTAGTGCCAAGAACAGAGTTGAAGAACTTTGTTGACAGAATTAATAGTGCTATTAGTCCTATGAATATGGCAATAAAAAAGGGAACAGATGAAATCAGTGGTGAAGATTATTATGTGCTTATTAATGCAGATGATAATCAAATATCCAGGTTATCATCTGAATACAAGCCTAAAGAACTGGAGCTGTTCAAGAAAATTGTAAGTAATTTATTTATTTAGGAATCTTTAAGTTATTTTTACTAAATAATGTTTTAAAATATGCATTTTTAAAAAGGAAAATTTAAAAAAATTCTGTACATGCAACATGGTAATGTTAGAGAAATCAGATTATAATCAGTTTCAGGTTAACTGGCATTGTTTAAGAAAAGAGGTTCAAGTAAATTTCTATCACAAATCATTAGTGATGTAAGATTTGACTCTCTTCGCTATCAAGCAAGTGACTTGATCTTAGTAATAAGCCTGGCAACTTCTCACACAGGCGGGAAGGGTGAGTTTATTTGCTAAATTTCATGCTCACAAAATACCGACTACTTGTGGTGAGAACTTAAGGTAAATTTAACAATAAATTTGAAAAGGTAAAGTGTAGTGGTCGACTGTACAATTTACTTAAAGCTAAGAAGCTGACTCAACAACCTACACTGGTGATAGACTTCATAAACAGGTAGACTGCATAGCCACAACTGAGATTAAAAGTTGGAGGGCAAAATAGCAACATGCTCTAACAAGTGAAATTACACTCTGTCTAACCTTCTCATTTCGCCTGTTTAAATACTCACTTCACTTAACTTAATTTGCATCCTGGCGAGGAAATGAGAGGGGAAATAAGAAGTTCTGAAAAGATGCCAAAACTAAAATAATTCATTATTATTGAAGCTAAGGGAAATCCTACATCTTTCCTTGCCTGAATTTAACTATCGCATAACTAGCCTGGATAAGGTATTTAAATTCTATACCTAACCTTAAGTCAACCTTTACAATTTAAATATTAACTTTCTTAATTTAAATTTTGCAGATGATAATCGTGGCAAATCCATACAATTCTTTACCTTTTTCATCTTGTATCCTTCCAGCTATCTAAAGGAAAATAGTTTAGAATGAGTTGGAACATTCAACATATGCATTTAGCTTGCAAGGCTTAAGACAATTAAATATGTTTCATTAAGTGTCATAGGGGGTGCATTTATTTATTTCATTCTTTCCAAAATTTTTAAAACTCTTCCCTGTTCTCCCACATTTGTACTGAGTATGAGAGCATGTCTTCATGTAGAATGTGCACAACACTGCCAACTAACCCACATCCTACTTGTTAGAAACTAGACATACTAGACCTCAGTAATACACTCTACATTAGATTTTCAGCCCTGAGGTGCTAATTCTACTGAAAATTAACTTAATAGCGGCTAGAGAGCCTAACTTTACTTTTACGTTACATTCTCAAGCTAGTTTTAACTTTTTAAGCATCCGTACTAATATTAGCTTGATTTATTTTTCATTCATACACATTTATTTCTGTTTACAAGCATGTGAAATACATTTGGCATTAAAACAATTCACAACACATTTACATATACAGTCAAAAGTCGTTAATTCGGACACCCATAATCCGGACCTCAAAGCTACAAACTTTCTGCGCATGCGTCGCATTGACGCATGCGCATAGGCGTTTACGCGTGTGCCTAAGACCTTTACTGCTGCAAATATGCGTGTGCGCATACGCATAATACATTTACACATGCGTGTTTAATGTATAACGGACGGTATAAGTTAAGCTCAAATTATCTAATTCAGTTAATGTTGCAGATTGTGTTGTTGCTTAATCTTCGAATTGGATCCGGCTTATTATTTTTTGCAGACTGTTAGAGCAATTTTATAAAAGTAAGTTTGAACTTTTGATTATGTCAAATGGAATTTTCGATGTATATTTACTAATATGTAAAGGATCTACAAAGCGAAAGTATGTTTCGAAGTCCATTAAACAGAAAGTAGAATTGCTGCAAAAAATGGATAAAGGCATATCCTTTGATTATGTAATCATTCCGAAATATGTTTATCAATTTCACTCTGCTTTGCTAAGGGAGGGAAATGACGCGGCACGCAATGAATTGGAAGTTGATCTGTCAGCACTATCCTTATCTTGAGAGCAGATGTTTTTATTTTATTTGGCTTATAATTCCTTACTAAATGTGGTATTTCATCTCGATGTACTCCGTCTTTGATATGATTTAAATCAAGTTCGTCGTCATTATAATTCGCTTCCAATAGTGAAGTAAGTGACACAGAGTTTATTGAAAACGAAATAAATTTCGATTGACATATAGTCAGTTATTGGTGTGACACAGGCGACAATTATACGACTTCAATCCAAGCGCGAATTACCGTATACTAGGATGTACAAGAAATTATGTCTCTTTAATAGAATTAAAGAGAAAGTATTACGCACATAAAAAACGAAGCAACTTAAAAACTTACATGAAAGAAATGTTTAATAAAGTAAACAAATAAATTTAAGCTTTTCTTTTTGTAAATTTTGATACCCGTTAGATCATAGTTGCTTCATTTATTTCATAAATCACGGTTTCATATTTTTAATTTTATTAATTTCTGCATGCCATCTTACCAGATTTAAACTGATGATCTATAATCCGGAATCACCGAAGTCCCGACGAGTCCGGATTAACGACTTTTGACTGTACAATTTCTTACCTGGCTTAGCTGAAAATAATTTAAAATTAATTACATACAAAATTTCTAGTTTGCTTTGCTAAACTGACAATATGCAACCATTTTCTAACTCAGTCTATGTGCCTAAAGCGTCCATCTCATTTTGATTTAAATCAAGATAACTTGCTAGAGATGCATACAACTTCTTGCTTAATCTCTAGATATAATAAAAGAAAGAGTCTGTCTGTGTGTGTGTCTTTCGTTCGCGCTGCGCGTAAGCTAATAGACCCACGACTATGAAATTTGATACATAGGTGCATCTAGACAAGAGCCAGTGCACCTCGAAACAATTTTTTCGAAATTCAAATTAGAATTTTTTTAATTTTATGTTTTGTGATGAAATTGCGTCATTTTGAGACATAATAGGCTATAGGAAAGTGAGATTTTATTCTACACTCTCCATTTTCACATTGTCATGAAACGTAGGCACTTAGCTATTTTACGAACTGAAAATAAATTTCATGTTTCAATAAATCGATTAAATACGAATTTATTTAACAAAGTAAGCATAACACCTTTTCAATGGGATTTTTTCTTAAAAGTTTATTTTTTAAAATGTACAGTTTATTTTTCTTTGATTTTTAAACACGTTAAACTTTTACCCTTGCGACTGCTTTTACAAAAAAAATTTTGGAAAAATGGTAATATTTTGTATTTTTTTTTAAACATTTTAAATGAAGCTTCCGAGTACACTTCTCACATCTCACATCTTTAAAATGTGATTTTGGCAACGATTTTCCTTTCTAATTGTTGTTGATAGATTTTTGATGAAATCGCATCATTTTGAATAGTTTCATTCTTTTAGAAATATGGGTTTGGCTACAATTTTTCATCGTATTTCTTATGTCACTGTTTTTAAGAGATTAGCATATTTCATTGTTAATTTTTTATATCTACTATAATACATTTTTATTGATTTTTTTTTTTTTTTTGATAAAGTTGTTCTACAGAGTAAAATTCTGCGCGGAATTTTGTGTTTTTTGAGTTTCTTTCATGTTATTTTTTGCTTATTTCACTATTTGTAAGATATTGAAAAGTTTTGCATGATTTTTTTCCTTCAACGGAAAGTTGGTTAATTTTTTTATTAGGATAATTAATATTTGTAATAAGGGCTATAGCTTATTTCATTGTAATTTTTTTCTCTTGAAAATGTAAGATAAAATATCATTAATTATGCTTTGCTTTTCAGAATTTTTTGTATTCTTTTATGTTAGTTATTACTTATTTCACTGTCTTTAAGATATTGAAAAGTTTTGAGTGATTTTTTTAGGAAACAAAAGTTCTTAACCTCCTTTATACCATTTGAGTTCTTAAGATTTTGCAAAGGGAAGTTGGTTAATTTATTTATTAGGATAATTAATATTTGTATTAAGGAATATTGCTTATTTCATTGTAATTTTGTTATACAATAATTTTTTTTTATGAAGTTGTTCTGCAGAGTAAAATTCTGCGCAGTTTTTAAATTTAACGTTTGGTGTTCCCTTCAGCCATTCCCGGTACATTTAAAAGCCAGACGAAGGCTGGCAGTGAAGCTGCTAGTACAAAATAAAAATAAAAAGCTTCTCGCTTAATACAAAATTAAAATAAAAAGGCTTCTTGCTTAATAAAAATAAAATTTCCTCTGTCAAGGCAACAACTTAAATAAATCATTTCAACTAACTTCATACTAGCTTTAAAATAAACTTAAATAGAATAATTTGAACTTATCTGTTGTTTGGCATCCTCTTCTTTTCAAAGTCCTCCCAGAAAGGTACTTGATTCATTTGCTGAACTCCGATGTGCTGCCTTGGTCCACCGTTTCCATCTATGTTCATTGGCTGCTTCTTCAGTCCTGCTTTTCTTTCCCAGGCTACCTTCTTTACACGGTGAATTGCTGGTCGTTTATGGGATCTGTCCGATGAAATTCCTTGCTCCAGTTGAGGAATGCTGGCCTGATCAGATGTTGCCGTTCATTGATTCCTCAGGTTTTTCCCATTGGGTAAGTTCCTCTTTGAATCAACATTTCCACTGTGGAACTTGTGTTGTCATGCAGTCCTTGACCTCCTGTCTCAGTTGTTGAAGTCATGACCATTGATTTCTTAGCTGATGTTGTTTATTCATCCACCGCTTACTGGATCTGGTATAGGGTCTCATCTACCCTACCTCCTCTTCGACTTGCTACTCTTTTGTGCTGGCCTCAGTTTTCTTTTGATGTTATCTTTCGGCCCTTCATGTCGATGTTTTTTTCCTTCTGGTTTCACCACTCTGAGCTTCTTTCTTTTCTTTTCTGGAATGACAGTTCTTGAAGTCTAAGGCTAATGTCTTGTACTTGGTGCTGATGCTTCCTTTCTGCCAGAAGATGCTGCCTGCAAAATATCTTGTGGCATATCTGCGCGGTCATGATATTTTTTGACTTGATCCATATATTGGTGGTAATATTAACCCCCTTCTGTTGTTCTAGGTAACATACAGTTTCACAAATTTGTTGAATAATGTAAGGACCTTTAAATTTGGGGTAAAATTTGTATACTATTTCTAGTGGGGCACAAGACAACAAATGTTTTAGTTTTAGGATCTTATTCCCAGCTTTAAAGTCCCTTCTTATCATAGAACACTTTAAAAAAGAAAAAAAAAAAAAAAAAAAAAAAAAAAAGCAGTTTGTTTAAAGGGGTAATTGATTTTCTCCCCCAAAATAACTCGCATGGAATTTTTCCAGTAGTGTCTTTTTTTAGCCGTTCTTAGGGCCAAAGCCAACTTGTTGACACAGTCATCCCTGTGTATATGGTAAGGTTTTACATAGCTACAGATGATTTTAACAATGTTCCTATTTACATGTTCAGTGTTAGATTGAGGTCTGTAAGAGACCACCTTTAGGTGATGCATACCAAGCTCGGATTACAGCCGAAAACATCATGGCAACATTGCAGACGAAAACGTCATGGTACAAAGCATTGTGGTAGAAAAGAAAGCAAAGTGATAACATTGCAGTACAAAATATCGTCGTCAAAAATAAAATGGTTAAAAAAATTCACAGTTTAAAAATATTGTGGTAAAAAATAGAGCATCTACAAATCATCGCATGACTAATGTTGCACACATGCATTTTTCAGGTTTTAAAAATTTTAAGTGCATATTCGCATAAAGATTTTGAAGCACAAGAAATGTTAATGACACTTTAAGAATAAACAGAAACAAAACAAGATAGAATTTTTATCAAAACAATATCAGATTAACAAATGTGAAAGAAAATAATTTTATATTTAACAAAGCAATTTTTATAGTGATAACCTCATGCAGTTATTTATCTTCCTTTTTCTAAACATATTTAAGCTGTATTTTTCATGAAAAATTATGAGTAAAACTATATGAAAAAAAGATTAATTTATTAATGACCTTTGTAAATTAATTATGCAAATTTAAAATTCTATTAAGTAAGTTGCATTAATTTTCTACTCATTTTCAGTTTTTAAATGCTTAAGTTTCCTTCTTACTTTTTCAGTAAAAATTTATTAGTCCATTAAAAAATATCCCTTGTGATTTTGCTGGAAATGAACTAGCCGATAAAGTAGCTAAAGATGCTTCGCAACTACCCATATCTGGTCCAGAACCATTTTACCCAGTTTTATACCAAACTGTTAAAAAAGAAGTAAGAAACTGGATAAAGAACATACATCATGATATATGGTCTAAACTACCAGACTGTGCTCATTCTAAATTGGTGCTCAGTACACTCAATTTATCAGGTAAACTCATACACCTTAGTAGAACTAACTTACGCCAAGTAATTCAAATTGTTACCGAACATGCTTATCTGGCCAAACATCTCAACAAATGTGGTCTTGTCGAATCTCCTCTCTGTCCGGCTTGTGGAAAAGAAGAGGAAACACCTATTCACTTCCTGGGATGATGTCTGGTGTTTTCTGTCCCTAGAAACAAATTCTTTGGGTTTCCCTACATTAACTTCGATCAGGCCCTTCTATACAAAGGGCTGTCTGGTATAATAGGGTTCCTAATGTATACTAAACACCTACAGGTAAGGTGAATTTGAATACCCGTTTATCGAAAAAACTATATAATATATTCCAATGTATGGTGCAATACACGTTTTTCAAAATCTTCAATAAGCCATAGTGAATGTACAAATATTAAACTTCATATAAATAGTAATAAACATAAAATGTCAGACTCTGCTGCGGTAACTAGCTCCTCATTAAAGAATTTCTTCAAACAGGAGAAAATGGGTGTAGGAGAAGAAAATTAGCTGCAGTAGAAGATAATTTTCCATACCATACTATTTGTCACCACCGTAGCTTTAGGTCTTAAGACACCATAGCTTTAGATCTATAGAAGGTCTATAGTCTTTCTTTCTAAGCTGTTTCTAATGTCTAGTCTTTCTGTCTAAGCTGCTGCTATAGGTCTATAGTCTTTCTATCTTAGCTGCTTCAAGTGGCATTTGAGCCTAAATTTACATATCCATGAACCAAGGCTGAAGCAATAATACTAAATGTTTTCATGCTTTACTGATGCATCCAGTAACAAGCAATAAAACATTTTCCAATACTTGTTAGATTTATAAATTGAAGTTATCAAGTTAGAGTAAAAATTTCAGAATTTAAGTGCTTACCTGATGAAACATCCGATATTGTCAGCAATTATTTAACTACCTGTCTTGAAGAAAATAATTTAAAAGAAAAAGTTATTGGTCTTTGTGCCGATAAGCTTCATTAAAAAATGTTGACTATATGTGGCATTTTTTTATTATACATAAAAATTAAGTGTTTCTATGAAGGCAGAATTTTTTTTAAATTAAGTTTTTTTATGAAATAAAAGTACTTTTTGAAATGTGTTACAACTTGTATAGGGAACAAAATTTCCTGAAAATTTTATGAAAAGCCCTGTTGTCATGGAAACCATCATGTAGGCTTCCAGACAAAAGGCTATCAGATCAAACATTTAAAAAAATAACTCTCGACATCTTAAACATTAAATAAATAGGCCCATAATCATTCTAAAATTTTGTAATATATTTTCATAAATACCCTCTGTATATCACTTCACATTTAATATTCACTGCAGAGTGCTAATTTAATATCTAAAGTGTGTCCCATAAATTTCGACACTTTAAAAAAGTCATGTAAATTCAACAAAGTGGATGTAAAGTCAACAATAAGTAAAACTGCAAAAAGACTTATCGCAAATAATAATTTTTTTTTTTTTGGCTGCACAAAAGTAAATTTTACTTCATTTTCCACCAAGAGGTGACACTGTTTATATTACACTATAACAACAAAATGAGGAAAATTATGATTATATATTATTTGTTCTTTTTCAAACATATCATAATTCTACTAGTAATGTAAGTCTGTCTTGAACTTTTAATTATACATTTTTGTATACAGGATTATGTGATATTAATGGTATGTGTCATCAGTTGCTGAAAATTGGCAGCAAAATATTCTATATATCCCTTCAAAAAGTCTGTCTTTGTGGTAAGATTTAAGGGCTAACTGCATTCTGATGTGCTTTATTGCTTTTATATGTTTTGAAATGAAACATTTGTTAGGTAGTTATTAAAATTATGAATTTATATTGGCATATCTTTTAAATCTATAAATGTTTAACAAATAATAAGCATCATAAATAATTAAGTCATAATAAAATGTACTTGTTAAATTATAGAACTTCCTTAAATAAATATATATAAGTATTTACTTTGCTGATTTGTATTCCTTTAACTATTATTCATCAAGAAATTTCCACATTACCAAAGGCCATTTTTAAAGAACATCATTGTGTCCATTTGAGCAGGCATTTATATAAAAAGATTATTGTTTAAAAACATTTGAACTATAAACATCTTTTGTGATTACTATAGTCTAATATTTTACAATTAAATTTATACCAAAATATGCATTGGAAAGTATAATGAATTGAGAAACTGATAAAATCTTTATAACCTCTCTTAAAATGGACTTTTTGTATGCATAATTAAATGAATTCATAGAATCATGATAGGTTATTCATTTGAGTTTAGATAAATGATATAATACATAGTTGAAGTCTTGCATTATGATCATTTTTTTTTTCTATCTAATTATTTAGATAAATAGTATTGTGCTTTCTGATGAGGGAAAAGTTAAGTCTATTGATGCTCTCAACTTGGCTGATGAAATTAATGTTCCAAAAAAGGATGGAGAAGAAATTGTAAACAAGTTTTGTGAAGATGGATGGCTAATGAAAGTAAACAAGTTTTAGATTTCAAAAGTTTTGCTTTATTTCATATATAATATGTAACATTTTTCTAATATATTTTGTGTGAATTCACATGCATTAAATCATTTTCTTTCCTTTTCTTATTACATATAATATATGGTTTGAGAGAGAAAATGCTATGTCATGTAAGATTTATATGGCATAAGAACCAAGCAGCAATACAGAGGCCTAACATGAAGACAATTGTAAACTTGTGTATTTGCCGATACTGAGTATGATACCATTTTTAAAGGCATTACTTTATCTTCATTGTTCACCAAACTCAGAAACAGCAGAGCTTGTTCACTGTGTGCTTATATTTCATGTCCTAACATCTGATAAGCTTATACAGTACAAAGTCTCTAATCTGGACGTCCATTATCCGGAATGATCTATAATCCGAACCTTAAAGCCACAAACCTACGCATGTGCATAATGCATTTACACATGTGTGTAAAGCGTTTACACATGCACCTTTGATGTGTGTGTCCGCTATGCATGCGCGTAAAGCCAGTAAAGTGTTTACCCATGCGCTTTTCCAATAGTAAGAACAGAAGAAAGTAACAGAGAACGTTATTGAAAATGAAAAAATTTCGATTGACAAGTTGGTTGGTATTCTCGACACAGCAATTACAGGACTTGACAGTGGAACTTTGTAAATGAACAAGAAATTATGTCCGTTTATAGAATTAAAGAGAAAGTATTAGCACAAAAAACGAAGCAACTTAAACAACTTACAGTGATAGAAATGTTTACTAAAGTTAAAAAATAAATATTCAGCTTTTTTTTGTAATTTTGATATCCTTAGATCTAATTGCTATTAAATAAATTACGTTTCATATTTATTGATAATTGCATGCTCTTACCAGATTTAAGTTGATGATCTATAATCCGGAAAAACCCCTAATCTGGAATCGCCGAAGTCCCAATGAATCCGGATTACAGACTTTGTACTGTATATACTTTCATATAACTTATGCATGAGCACTCCTACAGAAATTTGCATGACAATGTATTTGTTTCAGAATGGTGTGGTATTTCCTCTGTCAAGCATCTGTTTGTTGTGTATTTAAAAAGAATGATTTATAATATTTATTTCTTTGAATATTGATTCTTGGAATTTATTTCCAATTACATAGTTTCTTATAATAAGATGAAGAAGATTGCGAGAACGTTTTTAGTGGCATGGGGTAAAAGGTCTCATAAAAATAAAATCTATCTTTTCATATAATCCTTGAATTATAAAAATCAGTCAAATATTCTTTAGGCCGTAATTATTTAAAAAAGAAAAATTCTACATTTCAATCTTACAAAATTTGTGGAGATAGTTAAGAATGAGTAATTTATTATGAATGATAATTAAGGATATTAATGTTGGCAAAATCAAAGCTATTTTAAACAAGTGTCTGATTATGCGGGTGTATTCTGAAAGAAATAGAAGCTTTTTCTAGCTTATTAACCTTTTTCAGCTTATTAAAAATAACATTTTTATAACCAATCCTTTTGTATATTTTGCTTTCTATTTTACATTTGTGAAAATCATAAAAATAGGCTTTTAGGAAAGTCCATGTAAAGTGGAATGCTTTTTAAAGTATTTTAAAATGATAGGTATGAGAAAAAATAATTATTTTAAACCTTGGTTATTGAAATAATTTTTTTTTTCTGCTTAAAGGTAAATTAATGCGAATTTATATCTTATCTATTAAGAGTTGTTAAAAGATAGCTAAGCATGAATAAGCAATGATATTTTTCATTTTGCCTTTGAGAATTTGTATAATAATTCAGGATTATTATTAATTCGGATTTTTGTTGTGCCTTATCTCACTTTTCTGACAGTAACATTAGATTGAGGCCAGAAATTTTATCATTGTCAAAAGGTAAGGTAATGATAAAACTTTATGTGCCATTGGCTTAACCTTAGGCACATTATAGGTGAGAGTGCAGTCTGCCCAATTATGTCTCAGTTTTAAAGAATCCTTCATGGGACAGATTTGATGATCTCCCAATAATCTTCATGTTTCACCCCATCCTGAGAGAACTTTCGGCTCAACGTGATCTAAAGCTTCACACGCTTGTTTTAAAATCATGTAAGTAGTTTAAGCTGAGCTTCATTGCTACGCCACAAAACTGGTTTAAAGATTTTACCTAAATGTTTTAACTTTTCAACTTTATGCCACTTGGTATAAGAACCAACTGGTCCCAGTGAAGCAAACATGGGTTGACAGTTTCACTGAGTCAACTACACATATGCATGTAATAAAACTGCTCCATTTGATGCAGTAAAAGTATGTTATTCTTAAAATAAGACTGTATTATTGTACCAGTTGACTTGATAGAGAAAAGTTGCAATGAATTGGCAGTGGTTCTTTGTGTAACTTAAAGACAACTTGATTGCATAGTTAGAACGATGGATGCATAAACCAAAAACTTGCAGACGTGGCCTAAGTTCCACAAATAATTTTATTTCTTGGGTAATGCACATTATCACTGTAAGTGCACTATGCACCCCACAATTTTATACAGCTTACATCTTAAACAATGGACAAATTTAGAAAAGTAAACTTTGCATGGCTAGTGACACGGCAGAAAGCAGCAAAAGAGAGAGTTGCAATGTAATTACCCTTTTTATACCGAATTCCATTTCAGTTCACATGACAGTTTAATGTACATTTGTTGGGTTCAGGCTTCATCGATAAGTGTACAATACAGATTATATGACGGATCTTTTTCATTTAGTTAGAAAAATTATTGTTTTGTTATGTTTAGAAAAAAGACAGGAGTTAAAAGGCTATTAATTTATTATTTAGAAGCTAGATTTTACATATCCACCCCTTCAAGAAGGAAAGAGCTAGGTGAGTGAAAAAGTTTTTTTAGAGAGAAAGCATTAGCAAATAAAAGAACTAATTTGAAAAATACAAATCCTGAAATTTTGACCAAATAATTATTTACATAATTGCAAAATATACATTTTGATAAGATTTTAGAGTTCTTTAAAAGTTTTCAGTCCCAAAGTCTTTGTGTTTGACAATCCAGATACTTAGATTTTTTTCAGGGAAGGCTTTGCAAAGCTTTGAACACAATATCACAGTTGTAAAAATTTTACACACACATTACTTATTTTGAATAATCACAACAAATTTCAAAACATAACTTATTTTCAATATTATAACTTATATTTTAACATCATACATTTTATAATAGTACTACTAAAATTATAGTTTTTACTGTCATTGCTACATTTCTAATTTTCTTATTTTACGCAAAACCCCACAGCTTTCTCGAGTACAAGCATTTCAATCTGTTGGGCAAAATCAATTAAAACTGATTCATTTATATTATGAGTGGTTAAGTGTTGCTTTGACAAAACACTTCTGTGCCAGTGTTTCAAAATTAACTCATTCATTTTTCACATTTAGCCATTTTTAAAATAATTCTTCTCTGATTGGCTACAACTTAAATCTTGTTAGGTGAGAATGAATTTTATGATTTTTATGCCTTAGACCACGAAAGTTTATCTTTCCGGCAAATCTTTCATCTGAATAAAATCTTACAGTGGTGGACAAAATTGTGGACACTTTTGGAAATTTTTATGTTTCTGAACTTTGTATGCTTATAGAAAATGTTACGTTTCGCAAAATGCAAACTTGTATATATCATTTTAAAGAGAATTTATTACTGGATTCAATACAAAACACAAAATTCAATTATTTGCAATACAATAAAAAGTTATATGTACTTTAATATAAATAAAAAACACAGTTATGAAGTGGTTTGTAATGTCTAGCTTTTCTGGCCAATCACGGTTCTTGTTCTGAGAACCAATCAAATGTTAGTAACTGCCAGTAGAAGCTGACATCATGTTTACACTTGAAACAATTCATTATTTTGCTTTGTTCTGTAGAAGGAGGACCTGCTTCTTATACACTGCAAATTACAAGTAGGAATTTTTGTAAAAAATTTTTAAATATTAGTCAAGAAGCAATGACATCAAAATAAAAAGAGTAGATTGGACACCTAGAAAGAGATGTAATATATTTGTTTACGAGAAAGTGGTCTTTCCTATGCTGAAATTGCAAGACAGGTGGGTGGGTTCAGTGACTACATCTGGAGTCCGAAAGTTTTTGTTTACGATATCAGGGACAAAATTCAATAAAAAAAACAAAGAAGGAAAAGGCCGAAAAAGGTTCACCACATCTATTGATGACAAAAGAATAAAAAGACTATGTCTCCAAGATAGAAAAATGTCATCAGCGGCCATCAGAAGTGATCTGAATGATGCTGGTTTCTGCCAGTTCAAGAACAATCAGGAGAAGATGACAGATGTTGGACTGAGAGGTAAAATTTCATGAAAAAAAAGCCTTATCTTAATTTTCAGCAACAAAAAAAAAAAAAAAAAAAAAAAAAAAAAAAAAAAAAAAAAAAAAAAAAAAAAAAAAAGACTACAGTGGGCAAAGGAACACATTAATGGGACAGATGATCAGTGATCACAAGTTATACGTAGTGTGAAACTAAGATATCGTTATTCGGTAGTGATGGACGAAAATGTAAGACGTAGAATAGGAGAAGAGCTACATCCTGACTGCATTCAAGCAACTGTGAAGAACCCAGTTAGTGTTATGTTTTGGTCATGCATGTCAGCAGATGATATTGGTCGCCTTCATGTCATCGATGGGACACTGAATGACAGAAAATACATTAACAGTATTCTAGAAACCCAAACTTTTACCTTCCATCATGCGTTCCATCATGCTCTTTCCCAGCACAATGCTTCGTTTATTTTTCAGCAGGATTCTGCTCCTTGCACACACGGCCAAAATATCGAAAGAGTGGTTTCGTACATAGAGCATTAAATTGTTGTCATGGCCAGGAAACAGTCCTTAACTCAATCCTATCGAAAATTTGTGGCACTGTTTGAAAACTCTTGTCCAAATGAGGCGCCCATCAAATGAAAGGGAACTAATTGAGGCTATAATTGTTTCCTGGCATCA